AGAGCAGGCAGAGATAAAATTCAGGGACATGAGCAAAACCCTAGTAAAGCCATAGGGCCCCCCCAAAAGCGACACCCCCGAAATGGATGTCAGCAGTGTGCAAAAACCCTGTAAAGCGATAGCCCACCCCAAAAATGATTTTTTACTTAGCTGTTTACTAATAATTTAGGTAGCTGCTCATGTGGAATAGAGTAGGTTTTTAGAGGATTGAGTTGTAAACATGTAGAGTCTGATAAGTCAAAATAGTAATAACAGTAACAAGAATATACATCCCTTTACCTGGCGGGTGCCTATTTTTTTGAGTAAACCACAAGTTTGTGTTTGTACCTGGCAAGGTGCCGAAGATCTCCGTCTCTCGGGAAGTGGGGCGCGCCGAGTAGCCAAGGCTTGTGGCTTGCAAATAACACCCCTTGAGCTGTGGTCTAAACTTCTTAAAGGCTGTTATTTTCGGGGGCATATAGGGTTTAGGGTCTAAACTCCTTCAAGGGGGACGTAGAGGGAAATATATAGGGTTTAGGGTCTAAACTCCCTCAAGGGAAATGTAGAGGGAAATATATAGGGTTTAGGGTCTAAACTCCTTAAAGGGGGTATTATAGGGAATTGTCTAGATGGCTCCTTTAGGGGTTATTAAGGGGGATACCAGGAGTTTTGACTTTAGCTCATGTAAGGCCCAGTAGAAACAAAGAGCTTAAGCTCAGGAAAGCCTAGATGCTGGGCAACTAAATGATAGCATTTTTTCTCTCATGAGCGGTCATACGCCATAGAGCTGTAGGTAATTGGGGTTATAGATAGGACTTGAGGTGAAGGGGTTGTGGATTCAAGGGTTCGGGGGCTATGAGAACTCCGCTGTAGTTTGGACATTTGTTTGGGGTTCTTGTGGGAGTGAGCTAGCGGATTTGGTGGGACTGCACAGCTTGTTCATCTCTGTAGTGGGGTGACTAACGGTCCGTGTGTGTGGCGTTTTTCGAATTTGTACAAAGGGTTTGAATCAGCAGCACACGGTAGGTTACCAAAATAGGGGGACCCCAAAATAGAACCCCAAAGACTATAATCCTTATTATGAGGACCCCCCAAAAAAACAACCTCTATGTTTTGGAAATCGCCACATATGGTGGGACACTGCGAGTCTGCCTCCAAAGTCTCCTGGCAAGCCGGAGATAGCTTCTTAGCATGTCCTTAAGGAGGGGAGTGGTCCAAGGAGGGTTAGGTAACCTAGTAATCCTCATTATTCCCTTATACTCCCTAAGCTTCCCCAAGGTTCCCAAGGCTCCCTTGTACCCTCCCTCCTTGAACCACCCCCCCTATTGGATCCTATAAGCTTAGTTTGCTACGGGTCTGCAGAGTGGATTGAAAGGCAGACCTTGCGAGGTTTCTGCTTTGCTGCTGCCCTTCGTGCTAAAACCTATGGTCCTCCTTAAGTAGATAGGGGTAATATTGGGATAATGGAGAAGAAAACGGAAACTACTATTTAGGGTTTAGGGTTATAGTCCCCCTTAAGTAGATAGAATATGGAGTATATGGGGATCTGTTCATAATAAACCCGAGGCCATATTCTGTCTACTTAAGTGGGACGTAAACATTTGACCCGAAACTCTCAAGCCCCAAGTCCTGAAGCCCCGCAACTGCAATCCAAAAATTATAGGGACTTCCAATCCAAGGCTGCGCCAGAGGCACCGCTCCCACTGCTGGCGGACCTCCTGGAGGCTTCCCGTATCATGTGGTCACCATTGCTGGTAGGAGTTGCGCTTCTTGAGGATCAGAGCTGTGATGCTGTTTTTGATTAGCAGATGTATTCTGATGTTGCTGCACGAAATGCTGGCTGTTGGGTTTGCCAAGGTGGTGTGCTCATAAATTCCTCCTGCTTCTTTAATTGTCGCATTTGTCGCTTGTGTGACTTTTGCTGTTGATAGTTTTTTGCCTTTTTGAGGGAGCCTGCTGATCTGCGATGTGCCACAAGAGCTTACCTACTTAGAGATCCCGGGAAAGACTGCACAGGACCCTGACGATGAGCGCTACCATGCTATAATCCACCTTGGGTAGATAGAATATGGCTTTAATTGGGTATATGATAATAACATCCCCATATACCCCATATTCTATCTACTTACGGGAGACTATAGTTAGAAAGTTCGAGAAGCTTTGACCTTCAACCATTTCCCATGTACTCCTGGATTCTAAGCAACTTTCAGGCATCCTCTTCAGAATGCAGCGTGCGTGTGGGGTACAACATGTGGGGACCCTCATAATATTACTTGAAATGGCAGCTGCTAAGCAGCTAATCTGAGCTGTTTGGCTTGGTATGCAGGAATCGGACAACCACGCAAGCCTATCTGTGAACAAAAGCACACTCAGCACAGCATTCTAAACCTTGCGGTCAGAAGTGGATGGCTTTTAGCGGCTTGCCCTGAACCATGCAACCTCGTTCTAGTGACCCCAAAATTCCTTAAAGCTCTGAATAGTAAGAGTAATCGTAATAGTAACTTGATGTCTGCAATTTCAAGCAGGGCCCTGCGCAAAACAGCTGAACACATCAGCCCCACACTCGTTGAGCTGTACGCCACCGATGCCATTGCAGCGCTTGCCATGGCGCCCCCAAACAACATGCTGTCGTTTGGAGCCTACCCGGGGAGTGGGGAATTTGGTCAGACATGGGCGGGGAATAAAGGGGTTAGGGTTCAGGGTTCCCAAATTCAGAACATAATCAAATCCAGAAGTTGAGCGTAGCAGGCAGGAGGTTAGAGGGCCTTACCTGCAGCTACAAGTGCAACGCTTAGAGTCTTACTTCCAGTCAAGCAGGCTTGGGTGGGAACGGAGAGCTGCACCATGCTGATGTCACAGGCGGTAGGTATTTCTCCTTTGCTTGCAGGGAGGGCTCGCTTGAAGCGTGTGGGTCCAAGGGAATACAGGGAGCGCTTTGTTGTATGGGGTATGATGGAATGTGGACGACTGTTCCCCCCCAACCGAGTATGTGAAGAGAAGGAGGAGGTTGCTGGACGCCCGGGAAGACCTTTGATACTCTTCTAGGCTGTCCAGGCCCCCATGGTACAAAGTCTGCCATGGATCCCTAAACTCTATAAACCCATACATCCTACACCCCAACGCCCTAAACCACCCAGACCTCAGGTCCCTGGTGGCCGGCGCCCTCACTGGGTTCCTCGTCATTTTCCGTGATGTCAGCAGCGGCCTCAGTCGACTGCCTGAGAACTGAGAAGAATGCAAAGACCCACATCGAGGTTCAGGGTAACTACAACCCAGCTATAAATGTATAGTCCCCCTGAAATAGATATATATGATAGGGTTGTATTGGGATAACGCAAAATAAAATGGAAACTACTATTTCTGGTTTAGGGTTATAGTCTAGTCCCTCTTAGGTAGATAGAATATGGGGTATATGGGATCTTAGCATAACATCCCAAAGCCATATTCTATCTACTTAAGGGGGACTATAACCCAGCAGTGAGTTTAATCCTAGGGTCTGATTAATTCCCCCCCCCCCGGCAGAATAAGAAATGGAGGGCGCCAGATTAAAAGACTGATTGGGGTTCCTGGAATTCAATTTAAAAAGAAGAGGAATGCATTCCCGCGTCATCGGGGCTCTTGGACCTCTACCAATTAAAAAAATGAATAGGAATGCATTGAATATCTCGATTTTCAGGATTGGTCCCCCCAAGAATTTCTGTAAATCTAGTCCCTTTTATCCATACGAAATCCCGCCTAATTGAAATTAGTCTTGGACGGCTAATTTTTTTTAAAAAAATAAATGTGGTCCCTTTTATTAATCTGACCCTCGGATTACGTATGACCAAAATACAAGCCCCCTAAGTCCTCGAGTATGGTTATACTTGGGGTATATGTAGCAGTAGACTTCCTCCAAAAAAAGGTACCCGTTTATTGGGTT